GCTGGGTGTTTGTAACTCAGCTCAAGTAAAGATGACTGTGTAAAGATGGCATTTAAAAAAACAAATTAAGTGATATGTCATCTGTCACGTTGACTGTGCCATAAGTGAAGTTCCAGCCTGGTAAGTAATTGACACCAAAAAGTGATTGATAAAAGCATTGTTTGGATTTAATATGTTTTGTTGCCAGTGGTGCCCAGTAGATAGGAAGGCTAGGGCAATATCTTCACCTGCTTGATAAATTTCAAACAGATTTTGATCTGATCGTCTAATTTATTTTTAAGCCTTTAATTATACTTTCTTATTTGAGTACCCATGTTTTAGTTTGGAATTAGTCATCAGAATAAGAATGAGGCTATGGGTTGGCTTAGCTTCTCATTACTGGCTCTAACATTACTCCTGTCTCTTGCAGATAAAGCTGTCATGGCTCCTAATCTAGACTCATTTGGCCGAGATCGCGCAGCATACCAAGAGCACAGTCGTCAGAGGAGGATAGCTGAAAGAGAAGCACGAAGGTACCAACTTGTTCTCACATTCCTCTCCCTGTGGAAATGCTGTATTGTGCTGTACTTTTGGCCACAAATGCGAAGCCAATTACAGTTACACAGAACCAAATAATGTGAATCCAGCTATAGATTTGTAAAAAAAAAAAAAAGGTTTTCTGTGCATCAGATTTTAAGTCTTGACCATGAGAGTGTCACCTTAGTGCCAAGTTGGTAAAAGGCAATTTCTGCTCATGTTTTTAATTTGGCTTCCTTTGTATTCGTGGATGAATACAGGACACGTCGACGACAAGCCAGAGAGCAGAATGGAAAGAGGGCAGAACATAAAGAAGGCTTATCATCTGATGACGAGGAGACTTCTACTGACATCACCAGCTTCAACATGGAGAGAGGTATGTTCCTGTATTTAAAAATAAATAAATAAAAAATACATTAAAAAGTAAATGTATATTGTATGCAGTGTTCAACAACGTTAACTAAAAAAAAAAAAAAGAAATCTGTCAAAATCTTGTTTAAATTTAACAAACTGAATTCAATGAATTTCTCTGAAATAAGTCAAATTATTTGAATATAACATTCAACAAGAAAACAAATGGTTTTCTGTTTAGGAATATAAGTTTAAAAAAACTGCACCAAAGATGTGCGTTAATATTTTTCCTGCCTTTTTTAAGTAAACAAAGAGTAAATTTGAAAATGAATGAAAAACAGTAGTTATATTTTTGCATTGAAAGTATCGTTTTGATTAAAGAGCCTGTGCACACTGGTTACAGAAACCTAAAAATGATTTAGGTAATTATCAATACTGTTAATTTAGGGCAGCTGTGGCATTTACCTTACATTGGTTGTTAGTCTAATAAATGTATTACGTACCATACATATGAGATTCAACTGATATTGAAAATAATTTTTTTTTAAATCTGACGTGATCTCTTTGTGCTACCCAGATCGTATAATAAGGGAAAGTAAGAAGGTATTTGAGGATGTTGTGGAGGACTTTCATTCTCTCGACTACATCAAATCCCACTTTGAAGTGTGGAGGAAGGAGTATGCCAACACCTACAGAGATGCTTACATAGGCCTCTGTCTGCCCAAGCTCTTTAACCCCTTAGTCCGTCTGCAGCTGATTACATGGAACCCTCTCGAGGTAGGGCATGGGTGTATTATCAGTGTAACCAGTTCCTTTTTGAAAGGAAATTGGATGAGGAATGGTGATGGAATCTTTTTTTTTCTCTATTCACTGTGCAGGCGCAGTGTGCAAACTTTGAGTACATGCTCTGGTTTGAGTCGCTGCTGTTTTACGGCTTTGAAGAGAACAGCACGTTGCAAAAAGGAGATGGCGACATCGGCTTGCTGCCTGCTATAGTGGAGAAGGTCATCCTCTCCAAACTGTCAGGTTCGAGGCATGGCATGCTCAGAGATGTCCTTGGCTTGCAAGCCTGTAGAAAATTTCTCCTACTATATGCATTTCTCTCTACTTTGTGTATGTGGCAGTGTTGGCAGAGCAGGTGTGGGACCCACTTTCCAGCAGTCAAACAACCAGGTTTGTGAGCTTCATTCACAGACTGCTAAAAGGCTATCCCACTGTGCTGCACGGGGACAACCGATACACACAGGTACTCCCCACCCTCATCATCTTTTTCCTCAAAATACATTGGCTGTTAGATTACCTGATATTTTTAGAAGAACTGCTGTCATTACCTTGATTCCCCCCCCTTCTTTTAGGAGCTATTGAAAACAATTGTCTTACGGACCAGGAGGACTCTGGATGAAGATGTCTTTCTTCCACTGTACCCCAAGAAGTATGTTCTTATTAATAACAATATTAACATTTGGATTCCACTTAGAATTTTTTCTATATTTACAATAAGCACTTAAAACTGCTTAAAGCAATCTCTCTTGCTTTTATTCAGCATCCTGGAGAACAAGAACAGTGGTCCCTACTTATTCTATCAGAGGCAGTTCTGGTCCTGTGTGAAGGTATGTGTGCAAATGTGTGTTCTTTTTGTTTTGTTTGTGTGTGTGTGTGTGTTTAAATTACTTCCTCCAGTCAGTTGCTGAACTGATAGCATCACATGAATAGCTTGCCTGATTGTTGGAGATCACACAATGAGATCTGTATAATTTGAAAAGCAGCTGCAGCGGGCTGATAATCAAAGTATCTTCACACTGATATTATGTACTTTTGTGTTGCTGCCTTTGAGTCCAGTCTAACTCTTGTCTCCTTCATGCTTAGCTGCTGGGCAACATCCTGCAGTGGGACGGTATCTTATCCATGTCCTCTCTGAAAGACTTGGCCTTGGACAGCACTCTCAACCGATATATCCTCTCTGCACTGCAGACCACAGATACATGGGAGGAAAATATTCAGAAGTGCCAAAAGGTAGATAAAATGTAATCACTTAGTAGGGGTGGATTTCATTCAATAGATAAATCAGATTAAACTGAGCATTGCAGATTTCTTTTACTTAACAAAATATCCTTCCATCCATCATGAACGGATATTATGTGTGAGAACATTGTACCGATATCACTACGTCTGTGTAGGTTCTCAGTCATCACTACTTCACTTGTTTTTGAGAAAAACTGAATTTAGAACTTTTCTCTGACCGTAGTTTTACTTGTCATATATAGTTTTAAACTGATAACTGCGCTTTCAGTTGATTTGTTTTAAAAGTGCTGTAAACCTTGATATTCCAAAGCAGATGAGAAGATTTCACATTTGGTAATATAAGAATTAGTGACACAAATCTTTGGTCCTACCTATTAAATTTTGTTTAAAATGATATATTTTACAAACTGTAAAAATTACTGCTCACAAACTGTAAGGCAGTAATTTTAGTTTGCTCATGTGACAAACTGATCGATACATCATTTTTTTCCCCACCTTGCATACTCGTTATTTACAACCATGTAAAATACAATAAGATTTGTTGGCTGAGATCATTGTGGTAAAGAGTGAGCATGCACAGACAAAATATTTTGAAGGAGGGGTCTGTTGTACCTGTTTATGACTACATGGTCAGTTGCTATTTTTAAGTCGCATGATTATTAAAAACTGGCCCTTCTGCTGGGGTGTTAGATGTTAGTTGGTTATCTTTTTACCATTAGTGGCTCGCTGAACATGATAACACAAAGCTATTGTTTAATTCGTTCTCGTGTGCTTCTCAGGTGGTGGAGTGCTTGCCATCGCACTGGTTTTCTGGATTGAAGGGCCAGCAGACGTTGCCTCAGTTGGAGCCATTCTGTCGCTACCTCACCCACCTGGCCAACTCAATCCACCGCAGCGCACTGGTCGGGTCTGATATTGAGCGGCGCACTTCAAAGTAAGGACCTCTACACGGCTTTGTATATACAACTTGGCGCCTTGAATTTACTAATAGCTATATCTGCAAGAATGGTATTGAATGTGCTTTTGGAACAATTGCATTGTCGGTGTTGTTTTATCATATTAACTCTTCCTTTTTCACAATGAGTGCTTTTAAGCTGTGTTGTAATGAGTATTTTTTGTAGTGCTCATAGTGCATGTCATGTCATGTCTTACAACAGGGAGCAGGTCAAAGATGTTGTGAAGATGTTGGGCCAAATGAATGCCCTGGACCACATCATAGCTGTGGCAGCAGAGCATGGGATTAAAGACATCAAACCACTTTTAGAAGTCAAATCATAGAGGAGAAGCAACTTTTCATCCGGATTACAGATCACTAAATGGGATTCCCAGAGAAGGGATGTGTCATCCAGCTTAATAACTCAACAACTGAGACCGTGACTGAAAAAAAGATCTTGTAAATATTGTATATATTGTATTGTATAGAAAGGTGTGTTTATACTGATGCTGAAATTAGGCCTTGTATTGTCAGCTCAAAGAGACTGTTCACTGCTGGCAATATTTTAAATGTGTAGAAGTTCTTGACATGGATTATTTTTTGAGACTCTGATTCCTGAATGAACACTATTCACTCCAACTCTGTACAGCAGACTCATCTTTGCCATACGAGCTAAAAGGTCAGATGCACGCAGGCAAAGAATGGTATCCAACTTTTGTTTCCTAACAGTCCAGATGTGATCTTTCTGTGATCCCTGCTTCATCCTGTTAGTATTCCTCACACCTCTGTTTAAATGCTCTTTAAGAATCTGAGGGCTTTGTTTTCAGCTTTGCAAGAATTCTGTTTTAGCCGTTTATTTGCCTGTAAATAAAATGAACATTTGAATGATTCTGTCTTGCTGCCATTAAGCAACAACTGTCCCTCACGATGTCGTGTTTTATGTAAGTATTATGATCATAAAAGAACAATCCAAACTTACACCCAGTGTTCTTCACCGTAGGGTTTTTAAAACTACAATATCTCTTTAAACTTGGGGGAAATGGGTATCACTGATTTATTTAAAATGATAACATGGAAAACGTTTTCAAAAAATTGCAAACCGCCAGTTTCTACACTCTTGGCAACTCTGTTTATGTAAAATGATACTTTGTTACTGACTTCAGCCAGGAGGCGATTGCGCAATAGTAAAGAGCGGGTGGGACAAGCTGTTTTTGCCTTTCTATCCCCTCCTCTAGCTCAACTACCTAGACATAGCCACTCAAGACCTAAATATATCTTTTCTACATTTAAAGACGAGACTTTCCTGACCAGCGTCGTGTGAGACAAGAGTTTGGGGGTTCTACAGCTTCCTCTTCTCGGGCCTCCCAGGGAAACTGTAAATACCTCTCCTCCTTATGCCCGTTAAGGTAAAGTACTGCTTACAATAGCTACGTAGCGACTGCATGAAAGTGATCGGGCACTTAACACTACTGTATAGCAGGCTTGACTGCTGTCCAAGTTAGTGTTAGGGATCTTTGAGGAGACGCATTTTCCTGTGTACATTTGAGTAAAGCGAATAGGGGGTCCATGCTGTAAAACACATGCCCTTTTCACTCGGACCCCCATTTTTACTGCTCGGTTGTCTGTGCTGCCGTCTTCTGCAGCGTGTCTGTGTGCAACTGTATCCTAGTTAAGGAAGCTTCTGTTAATTCTACATTAAGGGGGTACTTGTGATGCATCCTTTGAAGATGCAATCACACAAAATGAACTGCAATTCCCGGACACGTGACTCTAAGTTATCCAACGGTGGCCTGATGCGTGCAAGGATTCTTGCCATGTAAGATCTGGAGCACCGTGCAGGATTTTAAAACTGCTCTAAACCCAGGAGTGAGTGGGACCTGAACCTGAACTATCAATCGGTGGTCTTCCTCTTGTCCTCGATCGAGGACAGTAACAGTAGAAATTAAAATCACCGACGCCCCGGTTTGACATTACTCCGATTTCCAGTTGTACAATAACCTTTTGTTTTCAGTACAGCTGTCCGGGAGTACATAGCTACTGTAAAGCTCATTTAAATTGCAATTTATAGACGAATTGCAGCAAGATTGTTGCTATCGTAAACCCCGTTTATTGACGAACTTCAGAGAGACAGCGTTTGATATTTTTGTAATTACTACAATAGTTACATTACTTATTTTCCCCAATTACTGTAGCAGGCTTTTGGCTTGAGAGTCTGGGTTGTTTCCCAGTGTCTCTCTCTCTCTCTCTCATACACACACACACACACACGCACTTTTATTTTGAAGTCTACACCCCCACCCCCTTTCCCTCCCCTCACTATTTTCAGCAAAATGGCACCCGCTGTCTCAAGGGTATGTATTTTATGAAAGAACCTCAAACTGACCTGTGGAAAACATTACTAACCCTGTCATCATGATGCATTAGAATAATAAAAAAAATGAAGCTGGTTCTTAAATTAGAGAAATCACAAGTTTATTGTTTTAATATTGTTCCACTTATTAGAAAATACAATAAAGAATAAGTACTTCATACAACAACATGTGAGTGAAAATAAAGTAATTCATTGGAAAAACAAATTTTAAATGGCCTAAGCCCCCTGACTATTGCAATGATGGCAACAGATTGCTTTTAATTATGACTTCTTCTTATAAGAGATTGGTACATATAACCTATCAGGTCTATTTTTCATGTTTGTTTTTTTTATTTGTTTTTTTTTTTTTGGTTTACTCCTGAGCAGAAATGTCTGTCTCCAGCATTTGTGCTCAGCCAGTGTCCCGTTGATCAGTCTCAATAAGGAAGATGTGATTAAAAGTGTGGATGCTGCAATCTCAAGAGTTCCATCTGGCACTCCTATGCAACCTCTCAATATAGTCTTCCCCATTGTTCATCTTTCTCTACATAATTTGCTTAGGGATTAATACAGTATTCTGATTCTTACTTTGTGGTGAGCTATAATTGTCCTACATCCAACAATGGAACCCTTTTTAAATCACAATGATCTTTCAGATTGGTCAGAGACTCTTACTCACATTGTCTAATCAGTCATTAAATTTTTTTTAAGACTCTGGTTTGATTTGGTGAGTCTTGCTAAGGACTTCACTGTGGTCCTAGACTTTGTGCAGGGGTGCAGTGTTTGGCTGGAGGGTGAGGACGGCATTGCTAAGCAGAATGGGTGGTCCTAGAGTAAAGACAGTGGAGTTTAGCTGCAAGGCCAGAAGGATATTGCTGCAAGGATGGGTAGTCCTGCAGTAAAGGCAGTGATACCGCACCTGGGTGCCGTGCTGAGCTAGGGAGCAAAGTGTTTATTGTTGGGGAGGGTGTGTGGTCGTAAAGTAGAGCCAGTAGCGCACAGTTGGAGAGCGAGGATGATCGTGCTGGTGAGGACAGATGGTCCTGAAGCAGCAGCAGTGGTGTAACACGGGAAGGCAAGGATGATTTTGCTGAGCAAGGTGGGTTGTTCTGGAATAAGGGCTGTAGCGCATAGATGGAGGGCGAGGATGATTTTGCAGAGGAGGACAGGTGGTCCTAGAGTGAGAATGGCGCCTCACTTGGATGCTGTGCTCAGCTCGAGGGCAAGGTTGGTTTTGCTGGGTAGCATGGCTGTCCTGGAGGATGGTTGCTGCAGAGACCTGCACACAGGTACCACCAGCCGTTACTGACAGATGCTCATCTTCTGAAAGCAAGAGTTAACACTGCAAAACAATCAAGCCATGTACCAAATTATTGACTCACTCATCTGAATACAACATTTTCCACATAAAGCGAGATACAGAACATATGCTCACAGTGGAAATGTGTTGTATGTGGAGAACCAGTGTTTCAAAAGAGAAGTAATATCTTACTCGAAGCTGTAGGGGTACAGCGCGATATGTGGCGCAGTGTTGTGAAGTCGTGCTGCAGCACCTGACTGGGCGTCATCCGTCTTTCAGGATCAAGCTGAAGCATTCCTTTAAGCAGCTCGATAAACACCAGCAGATCACAGATTTCTGCGGATTTACTGGTATAATTTTGATGACGTGTGAGCCAGAGCTGAAACATCAAAGAAAGAAAAGGCCCCTAAAAACTCTGAATTTTAAGTTGTTTCTTTTTGGGAGTTTTGTTTAAATATTTATTCTATAAATAAAATCTATATTTAGTTTTAAACATACAAAATAGAACAGTCAAGAAGAACACCTACGTTTTTAAGGTCATCAAGAGAGGTCAACTTCATCATCCTTTTCTCAGTGAACTTAATCCCTGTCTCACTGACAAACTGCTCAGGTGTCTGAAAAGACAGGAAACTCATCAACACTGATAAATTGTAAATTTGTAAAGTAAAAAATTGTAAAGTACTAAGAACCTTGAGTTTCCAGGTGCTGGTGGTGAAATACAACTGCTTGTCGAAATAAAAGGCAGTCTTGAGCCCACTGTCGAGGATCTTGCCTGGAGGCTGGCCCTGAGTCTCCACTATGTACCTCATCTGGAAATACAGACCAATTGGTCAAATTCAGAGTCCAACAACTTTAACATAATGTGTTGTAATCCTTTAAATAAAGCTTTAAGTTCTTCAAAGGAGAAGCGCTAGTTATACTTACCACCTCATATTCATTCTCACCAGGGTAGAGCATGGAGCCAAGGTACAGATTAGCAGCAATGCAGCCCAGAGACCATACATCTATGGCCTCTGTAAATGGAGCCCCGAGAATAATCTCTGGGGACCTGATTTAGGACAAACAGGAAAAACAGCAACTGTCAATTATTAACAACAAAAGTGGCAACTGGATTAGTTATACAGCCAAGAAGCCCATCACAGAAACAGCAGGGGAGTATCCAGTATTGACCTTTAAGAGAAAAAGCCACTTTGGTTACAGCTACTAACCGGTATGAACGGGACTGAATGCAAGAGCCCATCGAGGCAGCGGAGGTTTCACATGCCAAGCTAAAGTCAATCACTTTGACCCTATAAGGTTGTTTCTGATGGTTGACAAGCATCACATTTTCCAGCTTGAGGTCTGCATGTATCAAACGTACAGACTTCAAATGATCCAGTGCTTTCGCAACCTAAAAAAACCCCCCCCAAAAAAAACCCCACACACCTTTGTATTAATGTAATCAGCATCCATCTGAAAAACTTTATTTATGTAGAGAATACAGTTAAACACACCTGCTGGGTGATGGCTCTAACTGAGTTTAGAGCGAGTGGTCGGAATTGTCTTTCCTTCATGAATTCATAAAGGTTCTTGTCCAGAAGCTCGAATTCGAGACATAATTTTTGCCCATCGGTAAGAACGTTGTAAAACTGAACCAAGTTATACCTTTCAGATTTGTACAACTTTAACTTCTGCAGGGCAGCCACCTGGCAACATATGAGTTTTAGCTTCAAGTAAATATTTTAGTGGAATTTCTTCAAATACAATTGTTGGATTAACTGCATCAAGCCAAGTCTTTCCTACCTCCAAGTTTGCCAGTCCATTTCTGAAGCAATCAGTCTTAACTATTTTGATGGCTACGCTCTTCATGTCATTGAGCCTAATGAATTTTCCAACCGTGCCATAGGCTCCTTCTCCCAGGGTAGTTATCATCTGGTACCGTGAAGCTCCAGTTAAGTGCCAGCCTATGGGAAGTAATCGGTTGATCTGGGCAATTTTATGGGCATCTCTGGCATCATAACACCTAAAAAGAAAAAAACGTTATAAAGAAAAAAAAATCCTAAAAAACGAACAAACAAAAATTTAAAAAGTAATTTAAAACTTCATTTCTTACAATGTAGACAAATTTTCATAATAACAGCAGGTGATATTAGAGGAAAAAGTGAAACAAAGCATTGTGATTGTAAACCGATCATCTGCTGTCATGAGCTAGTTAACCAGAAAGCAAACTAAATACTTGGCAAGTTAATGTCCTTGATTTATCTCAGTAGTTTCACCTTAAAAATTACTTTGATGAATATCGAGTGAACAAGTTCTGCATACTACAGTGCTTGGAGTTTTTTAGTACTGAAATGGAAAGGTTTGGTGAAGCTGTTTTTTTAGGTCACTGGACTTCAATAAATAAGTCTTACAGTTAACGTTATTTTGACCTGTCACAAATATTGATTTGGTGATGTCTAAAGGTTCATTCTTGGAGAGTACAAAACTTCAAACAGTAGCCATTTCAAATGAGAGAAGACAGTTTTTACCTATAAAACAAATTAGAGCCACAGAGCTGAGCTCATTTGGCCCAGGTGAAACTCATGCACCTAATTACCCTCCAGTTATCTCCTGCAGAATAAAGCATGGCACAAAATCCAAAAGATAGAGATCTAGTATCCATGCAACATCACAAACCACACCTTCAAAGTGTAGGGGCTCTGAAAGCGAGTCTCATACAAGATACATTTCAATCCAGCATTATGTTTCATTTTATGTTCTTATTAAAAACCTTATTAATATTATAACAGGTGCATTAAGTACTGACAGCCAAATAATTTTAAGAGCTGATTTGCACATGTAAAGTTACATTAAGGGTTGCCTTACATTAAGGGTGCAGACGCATTATAAGCCTGCATGTGGCCTGCATGCACTAGGTCAGGGGTGTCGAACTGCAGTCCTCAAGTCATTCTTTGTTGACAATAAACTTATTTGAATATTTATTAGGACTGCCACTAATGATTATTTTTATTATAGATTAATCCACTTATTGTTTTTTCCATTGATTGAATGTTTTGCACAAGCCATAATCCAAAGTTGTAAAGGCCTTAGCAACTTTAGCTGACCAACATTTCCTTGATTGCCCTATTAGATTTATTACCTTATTAGATTCACAAGAACAACCAAGAAACTTGCTAACACTTAAAACAAAGCCCATAGGAGCAGTAGACAATGCATCTTTTGGAGAAATTGCAATGGGATGTTGCTACTTCCAGAGTTGGTCTGTGGCTTAGTGCTAAGAAGCCAGACAGAAAACGGGAGGGAGAGAAGTTTATTCTTATATCATAAAACGTTAAAAACAATTAAATTTTGTTTTTAAAATCTGGAACATTCAAGTATGCTAAAGTGTACTTAGTATATCATTTAGGCAGACTTTAAGATTAAAGCCTACTGGTTACACTGTAACTAACACTATGATATTTTAAATGGAGGTTTGTTAAAGTTGCTGCTTGTGTGATTATAGATGCAGTGAGAGTCATGTTTCCCTTGCCGCCATATGTCATGACATCTTAAAACCTTCAACCTGAAAGTAGACAGAGGACGTTCAAGAAGGTGAGCTGCTGTTCTTGTTGTTATTCTACTGCTGCTTCACATAAAGAAAATACATTTTATTAGTGGACTCAATGATACTTTATGGTCAGACCTTGTCTTTGTTAGACACGGGAAGCCAAACTAGATTAATCAATAAAGTACATCTAGCAACAGTCCAAAACAGTGGCGTTAGACGCTGCTCAACTGCAGGATGAGATCCTCTCTTTTTTCAGTGACCAAGCTAGCAAACCAACTTGTAAGTCAAACATTAGCTGGGAGGGCCTGAAGTAGCTGGGGAACAGTGACCACACTGAACCTAGGTATTTAATGAATGCAAAGTTTCATCAGTAAAAGCAAACATGCTATAAGGAATATCTAACTTTTATTGGGGTGGCTGCCGCTCAGGAGAAGCAGTTCATCCTCTAATGGGAATATTGGTGGTCCGATTCTTGGCTGCTCCAGTCTGCACGCCAAAGCGTTTTAGTTAGAACGCAGTTAAGCTTATATAAGAAACAGTCCATTTACCATTTATAGAGCTATCTACACTTTGGTCAGATACATTTTTAGAAATTTCTGTTTAATTCTGGAAGGATGACAGATTTTAATATTGATAAGATGAGTCACTACTAACGAATCCAAAATAGATCCGGTCCAGATGGGGCTGATTATTTGATCCTTATCTGTTCTGCGTCCATCCTGATGTGCAGGTGGACTGCGATCTGGACCTGGTTTGCAGATCCACTACAGAGCCTATGATATCTCTAGGTTGGATCTGAGCCAGGGTCATTTTGCTATTTAAAAGCAGCCTAAACCCAGGATTGAGAAGGTCTTGAACCCGAATGTGTCGTGTGGCCTTGGTGGAGTTTCGGCAATCTAAATTAGAGTGAAAGCAGAAAGTGGCCACTAACATCTGACTGCAAACCATAAGTAGGAGTAAAGTAAAGGTGTTGTGCAGTAAGTACCATAATGGAAAACATAACACATCTTCAAACTGATTCAGATCCTGCTTTGGTTAGTATGAAGGTGTTAAGAGTTAAATACTTGTCTCCTAATTGGGTACTGACTTGTCAAGTCGACATTTTATTCTTTTTTCTGCAAAAAACAAAACAAAACTCAAATAAAGTGGAATATCTATTGTTTTGCTATTACCACAATGAGTTTTTTGTATTTATGCTTATATTCTTGAGAAAAATAGAGAGGCTCATTATACAGTAACATATAATCAACAAGAGTTCATGTTATAAAGGCATTTAAAGAAAGAGTAATCTGACCTTTCAGATCTAGACCATTGCAGCTCAGACCAGCTCGAGTCAGTCTAACTTTAGCACCCCTGAATGTGGGTCACTAGTGGTGAAGTTGCTGACTGTGTTAGTCTATCTGCAACCCCTACACACTTAAATAAGTAAGTAAATAAGTATGTGTGTCTGTGCGTTTGTATGTGTGTGTAAGCTTTCCAGGATCACTGAGATTATGGAGGCTTCCGCACCATGAAGGGCTTATTCATATTTCCTCATTACTGTGTCTCTACCTGATTTGTGGCTTCTATTTATACCCATCACAGTTATGAGTAACACACTCAGACATTGTGTGTTCCTGCTTTTGGAATTGATTTGTTGCTGAAATAGGAATGCTAAGAATAAGATTCCAGGTAGAAGGTTTGTATTGAGTGGGTAGGGATTTATGAAACCTGTAACTTTTCGTTCTTTGTAATAACTAGAATACTTTTTATGCTTTAACTCTGAATATTTTAGAGTTCCACTTTTTCCTGGAGTAATCTACAGAGTAATAATCTACTATGAGTGGAATTAAGTTCATTGTAAAATGTTGATGAAAGAGATCTTTTGGTCAATGTAACATAACCTAACAGTTAAACATATGCTCTTGAAGTTCTTGATATGTTACTGCATATGATCTTGGTGGTGAGTTCACTCACTTTACATTGTGTCAAGTGTATTTCTTTCTTGGCATATATTTATATTTGTCACAGTCTCTGCTGCGCTCTTGGCCAGGTTTATATATAAAAATCTATATATATCACAAGTATACACAAATAAAGTACTTTGAAATATAAAGTTACATTTTTGCTTATTAGGTCAAAAGTGCAGTCGTGCTTTTCTGGGTTTTTTTTTCATCTTTGGCAACAAAAACTCTGCAACTATAAGTTGACTAGCCAATCACAATGAAATAAGTCACGCTTTACACTGAAACAGTATCACTTTCAGAGTTCTGTAGCTTTTTATTGACCACCACCAGTCATAAAAGTGATTCCAGAGATGTCAATAAATACAGCCTTCTTTTTATTTCCTTTTAATTTTGTGCAAAAACAGCATGAGCTATTCCTGACCTGACCTAAAAACATTAGTATTTTTTACCTGCGTCAGGAAAGAGGAGGAAGAGTAGAAGTATTATTAGTTATTACCAGCCAGCCTGGCATGTTGCCAGCCTCTTTTTTTCTTTCTCGCAAGTATAGTTTCACTTTAGTTTGACTTTAAAACAATATGTCCACCAAAACAACCTGTTTAAGGAGTTACTACCTGATGCCCAGGTGCTGCCCATTTCCTTCTTTTACTTATTAACAGTTGACTTGCTTCTGATATTTTTCCAACTTGTTTGAACATAAAATCATTCAGCTGCTACTGAAAAACCACAATTCCCACACCCTAATTTTCCAGGAGTAAGTCATTTCAATTCACTTAATATCTCTGATGTTGCTTTGTCAATTTCTATTACTTATAATAGCAATAACATTCTGAATTTTTAATGCAGGATAAGAACTTTAGAGTTTATCATAATGCAGAGACCTACTCGTCTCTGCATTATGAGTACTTACTTTGATATTGTATGTGCCCTCTGTTAGGAAAGTATGGGGAGTAGGACTGTTAAGAAAATGGGGGAACTGTCATGATCCCTGCATTTTGGACCCCACGTTTGACATTGTGAGGTAATGTTTCCTTTGTATTTTTAAAAGGACAAAATATTTCAAAAGAAAAGTTTTGTTTCTTTTGTAATATTGCTTCCCTTGTGGCCTTAGATATATTTAGTTCATCATTTTCAACTAAGTATTGGTCCCTTTATAGTTAATATATAGTGTACTATTTGTTGAATGGCTGCTTTCATTTAATTCCCTGTGTTTACAAGTTTAAAAGCTTTGTCTATTTTCTGTGGCTCTTTTCGATTATCTTCTTAAGACTTATTGTATTCCTCTGAGTCTTTGGTTCGTCTTAGTTGTAGTTACTGTTTACACTGGGTTAGTACCCTGTTGTGTTCCTTGGTGTAATGATCTGCATTGCCCTGCATCTTTATGTGTTCCTCTGTCTTGTCTTTCTCTCCACCCTTATGCCAAGTTAACCTTTGCTTCCATTCAGTTGTGTCTTTCTGTTTTATTTTCTGTTGTTCTCTGTGTCTTCTGTTTTGTTTACTTCACCAGCGTGATAATGTCTATAGTAACAACATTTTTATACCTTTTACTTTTTACATTAAAGCAGATTTTTTTGTTTGAGTCATTCCTGTTTCCTGAGTCCTGCATTTGGGTCCGCCCTCTCACATGGTAAAATCCATGCTGGCTATTTTTCATCTTCTTTTCTTTTTCTTTCTTTTTTTTTTTTTACAAGTGTTTAGATTAACTTCAAGTTTGACTTACTTACATAACATTCTGTACTGTATTACTCATCTTGTTCTTTGTTTGTCCATAGAGGTGGTGCCACCTATCAATACACATTGTTCAGTTACAACTGACAAGGTTTACGGGTTCAAGGTGACCCTGTGGGGCATACCACCTCTATCTTGGTTAGCCAATAAGAAACACAACATGTTACCGTGTGGAACTGAAGATGATACCAAGATATTGCTGCAAATATAAGTAATCAGATAACACAGGTAAAATAAAATCGACACATAATTTTCAGAACTTCTCTGAGTTGCTTTGTCACAGTGTTGCCGGGTACTTATTCTAGCTCTTAAAACATTCATGTGTGTTGTATGCATAACTACAACTTGAATCACAACTATAGTCTGTTGTAGTACCTGCTCATCCCTAAGGTTACATTCTTGCCCTCATCTCAGCCCAGAGGCCCTAGATGTAGAGGACAAATTTATATCAAACCACAAGCTCGATGTTTTTAATGGATCTCTTTTGTTCACACTTTTAAAATTTCACCCTCACCTTTTAACCTCCCTCAGTAATCATTGTGTGTCGCTAAACTGAAATGGAGAAAGCATAACACCAACTCCTGCTAATTAGTTCATTTAGTTCAGGAATGGAGAAAGTTGAAAGGCAAATGAACACTAATTAAAAATGAGACAGCCTTCTCTACTTTATATGAATTTATAAAATAAACTACCAAAAAGCAGTTAAAGCTGCAAGATAAATAAGTATAATTCTTTTATATCATGTCATTTGTTCTCCAAGGAAGAAGTTTAAACCAGAAAATGACTGGTGCAGGGACTTGCACCGATATATTTCTACTTTAAGGAAATATAACACTGGGTACAAAACGTTAATCATTATCCTGCGGTCAGAATAGTTTCTCAGCTTAAGTTTTGCTTGTGCTATAGATATGCCAACCCAGTTTTTAAAGAGATACTATCTGCTGTTGCTCATTTATTTCTTTTACTTATTAACAGTTGGTTTGCTACTTGGTATTTTTTGCAGCTGGTAGTAAACTGAAAAATCATTCAGTTGTTACTGAGAATGCTTTTTGTGCGCTTTTAAAGCATTAGATTTAAAGTTAAAATAATATTGTTGTAAATCCATCCATACTGACATGAGGTTTTGTGTTTTTACTTTGCTGTTCATTCACCTCAAAACGACGCCTCTGTTATACCACATGCTGACAATATTTCAAATGCACAGCCTAATAATGCATAGAAGTTATTGACACAAACATGAATGATCAGCATCGTTTATTGACCTGACTAACCTTTTTCATGTTTGTTTCATTTCATTTCCACTTTATTTGTCAGGGGCCATGTACAAACAAAAGAAAAACTTTAATCTCCTAAGAGAAAAGGTTGTACCAGAT